TCTGCCTTCTCTTGTAGAAGATAATGAGTTTGAATCTCAAGGAGGCTTTTTGCTTTTCAGAGTTTGAATATCTTGCTTGTGGTTAGCAAAGTTGTAGCAAAGTTATGGCTTAGTTCTCCGGTTGTTCTTCGTAGTGTATCTTTTATACTGAGGTTGTCTTCCCGTTGGAGGAGTAGGAGGACAACTGCATTTAATGCGCGATCAGTTGACTTGACTAGTAGAGCCCGATAAAGTTGGTGGGCTACTATTTTGGGATAAAGTATTCCTGACATTGCGGCCAATCATCTGCAATTACTCTACGTAGCATGGGGTGCATTAAATGAGCATTTAATGCATGCACTGTAGCTTTTCCGTTTCATACTCCTAGCCGTTGAAGGAATCTTTTAGTTGACTTCCCGGTTCTTTGAAAATCTTCTAAGTGTCAGACCTTCTGGTGTCTTTGTCTGAGAGTAGAACAGAGGAGGTCTGGAGCACTTCTGTTGGGAGTATCCAACAGAGACCCAGAAGGGTTTCTGTCAGAGTCAAGACTAACAGAGATCCTGAGGACTTCTGTTCTGGAGCAGAGAACCAAAGGTCCTCTGTTTCAATAATGCCTTACGAGGGTCTTCTGCTCTTGGAGCCCTTCTGCTCAGAAGGTCTTCTGCTCTGAAGGCATTCTGCCAAGTCGATTACACTAAGAACTTTACAAATGAAAATTCTAATACATTAAGTATAAATAGGGGTACTCTAAATTCCTAATTAATCTAGCATCATCAAAATCTAATAACAATTATTCCTTACAACTTGGATTGCCCGTTGACATCAGTTTTGAACTGGGTTCTGGCTGATGGCCTGATTGTAAGAATGTACCTGAGATAACATCATCACGACTTCCATTCCCTCCTCGGTCTGTATCTCTAGGAGATAAGTCTCAGAATGTTTCGTCTAGCTCGACCGGGCTAGAAAGGTTGGCCTGGTTTTGATTTTGGCTGAAGGAGGGTGGCTGTTGGTTGGTTGAGGATTCGGGTTGATATGGCTGTGGGATGTGACTAGTAGAAGCACCTTGCTCAAGTGTCCGTGGACACTTGTTCTCCCCCTCATGAGGTTCCAAATCATCAGGATCCTCATGTGAATGTTTGCGGCCACGGGGACTGTCACGGTAAGGGCTAGGTCGGGGGCGATCGTGCCTGTGAAAAACCTCAAGAAGGTCTTTCTGGAAAGGGGTAAGGTCTTTGGTATCGGTGGGAAGAAGGCGTAGGAAAAGGATATCGACTAAGGAAGTGAAGGTCATGGAATAGGGGTTTGGTGAGGTCGAGGGAGGGGGTGATACGAGTTCGGTATCATGGGTTCCCTGAGAGTGGGTTGTGGAACTTAAAGAAATGGTTTGGGTATGGTCGGAATGGGAAGTAGGTGTGGGGGCCTGAATTGGTTGTGAGTGAGAGGGTGTGGGCTCAGGCTCAGGCTGTGGTTCATGTTGTTCATGTTGAATCGCTGGGGTGCTCCTGAATTCTTGTGTCCGAGCAGTTATTACTTCGTGCACCCATGGTTTAATGGTGGAATCCATGAAGCGATTGAGTAGAACGGCTAGATCTTCAGGTAGAGGGATATCAGTTATAGGGATTGTAACTGTTGTCACAACATCAATGAAGAGAGTTGATGTGTGGCCTGCATGTAATGACTGAGTCATTGATTGCGTAGCAGGGCTTCCGACTGTCATTGTTTGCACGTCTTTTACAGTTTTCCTCCATTTTGGATGCAGACTTGACATGAATCTTATATTCATTTCCATGTGGGATTTGAATATGTTGATCCTTCTAAGGTCGTTGATCAGTGTGGCAAATCTCTTGTGAGTTTGAATGAGATATTCCCCGGGCAATGCTTTTAAAGAGTCGTAGGCAGTCAATGTGCTGGCTTTCTTTGTCTTCATCCCTATACCAGTTCCTTGTAAGAGCTTAGCAACTTCATCCTACATCTCTTTAGCAATCTGCATGATGTCTATCATCACAAAGATGTCATTTGGGATTGCTTGAAACAGATAAGTTTTTGCCATCAAGTCAGCTTTCAATCTCAATCTGTCTTCAACAGTGTATTCAGTTGTTGTCTTCAAGCGTCTAGCTGGTTCCATTAGAGGATTGTTGTCGCCAGCTGGTGGTATTGTGATCCACAATTCAGCGGGTCCTTGTGTTAATGATTCCAGGATTGCTGATGAGTTGTCTTTGCTTTCAAGAAAGTTCAGAAAGTGAATTCTCCACATTTGATACTCGCCATTTCTTAGAATGGGCGGGTTGTTACTGTTTCCTTGTGCTAGAGCATCAGTAGCCATTGCTGTTTTAGAAGTTGACCGTTCGAGATTTTGATCTGAAAAATATTTCTAAGGCTGAATGTCGAGATCCTGAATGTCAAAATCCTGATCTTGAGATTTGAGATTTCGATATAGGAATAGCGAAATTGTGAATATCGAGATTTGAATTGAGAAATTTCAAATGTCGAGTTTTGAATTCGAGATTTCAAATATCCAGATTTGAACTTCGAGATTTGAAATATCGAGATTTAAAACTTCGAGATTTGAGCTTCGAGTTTTCAAATGTCGAAATCTTGATTTCGAAATCCTAATGTTGATATTCGAAGTTCGAGATCCTGAATGTCGAGATCCTGCAAATAGAAAATTTCAAGTTTTTTCAAAAAACAAAGGTTGTTCTGAGGAGCCCTTGATGTCGAGATCCTTTCTGTAAAGTTTGATGTCGAGATCTTTCGATTAGCCTGTAAAAACCTGAATCTCGAGATCCTAGTGTCGAGATCTTCAAATCTAAAAACTTGCGGAAATCAAGATATAAAATATACTGCTTGATCATTTTGAGAATACGATTCTAGCAGTATAACTTTTACAATTTTTCGACCAAAAACAAGATTACAGATGCTAAAACTCGAAAAATACAGATAAACGAGAATAAGAACAGAGTCTTTAGCCGTTCTTTGTCTGATCAACTCTCGATCGGCTCTGATACCAGTTGTTGGTCCCTATTACATAAATGATGATCTAACAACAATATAACAATATAACAAAGAGAGAATCACAGAATAATATGATAATATGATGATTGTTGAAACCCTCTCTGGTATACCGTGGAAACCTTTACAAAATGATGTTAGCGCTAAAGCTCTAAAAGTCGAATACAAAAGTTAACGCAAACATAAGCCTTATGCGCATATATATAGGCGAAAGGGTTTGCTTAAAAGCTTTATGCCAGGAATATGGGCCTCACAACTTTGGCCCCATATCCTTTATACCCTAATAAATACAAAGCATAAATACATAAAGGCATAATAAAGGCTAAGCTATTACAAGACATATGAGGGGTGGGGAGAAGAGTCAGAGAAGAGAGGGAGGGGAAGACCCAAACAGACTTGGATTAGAGGAATCAGAACTAATATGCGTCTTCTTGGGTTAGATGAGAGTATGGCTTTGGAGAGAGCAAAGTGGAGGGCGCACATCCGTGTGGACGATTGATGCCTTGTCCACCTTTCCTCTCTTTTTTCTTTTATCGTTTATCTTCCTTATCTTCCTTATCTTTTTATATTCTTATGTTATTTTTATCTTCTAGCTTTTTTATAATCTTTTATTTTTTATCTTTTATCTTTCTTATATTCTTGTGTTATTGTTATCTTATATTTATTTATCTTTATTTTATTCATTTTATCTTACTTTTTTTTCTTCCTTGTCCGTCTTCTCTTTTTGGCATCGATATCATAGATCGGTTCATGTTAGCCGACCCCAAATTCTTTTGGGATTAAGGCTTGGATGTTATTGTTGTATTAATCAGTAAAATACATTTAGTAAGAAATTAAAGAAAAATATAGATTCATCATTTTTGGTTGGTCATTTTACTCTTTTAGTTCTCTTTTTATATTAATGTGGGGTCCCGATTTTACATTTAGAACCTGGTCCTTCAAATTCATTAGACAGCCTTGTAGATATCTATTCCATTTTTATGTGCTACCGACAACAAACTTTGCATTGATTTTAGACTTTTCATCTTTAGTTTTTCAAGCAAAACCCATTTTGCTAATAGCAAATATCCTGAACACTTTGCTCAAATCATTCACTTGGATTCGTTCTTCCACCATGATTTGCGCAAATTATACTGTGGGATCGGCCCACCTTGTGCATGGTATGCCGATCCCAAACGGTGTCGTTTTTGTTTAGTTTAGGTTCGTTATTCGTTATTCTCTGGCCACTTCTATTCGTTATTCATTATTCTCTGGCTGCTGCTACTCTGCTTCTATTCATTTTCTTCCTTCTCTTCCTTCTCTTCCTTTTCTCTTTGTTCTCTTCGTTCTCTTGCTTCTTGTCTACGATTACGATTTCAATGGAGTTTTCTTGTGGTGATTCAGTTATTTTGAATTCAAATATTGAATTCGGTGATGTTGTTCCGTTTAAAATACATGATAGTTGCGCGATTGATTCATCCGGCGGAACTATTATTGATGGTGATCAAGTTGTTGATGTTGAATTGATCGGTGAGCGTTAATGTTTTCTGTTCGTTCTGCGTTTTATACTTTTGTTTTGTGTTTTGTACTTTTGTTCTTTGTTTTATAATTTGTGGCATTGTTTGAGAATTTGTATTTTTCTATTGATATTTTCTGAGTTTTTTATTCAGGAGAAGAAGATACTGCTACAAGCACTTCTAAATTGTTATATCTGCTCAGTAGAGGTACACTTTTCATTGTGAAGCTTCGTGTAACTTTTGGTTATGAGTTGTGTAACTACAGTGAAAGTTTATGTAATATGCATTCGTAGATATGTAACTCGTGGTAGTTCTTTTACTTTGGACTTCGGTTAAACTTTGGTTATGTGTTTTTGTACCTGTCGTTAATTATTATGTTATATGAGGTCATGGATATGTAACTTTGGTTGATTAAAGTGTTTTAGCTGTTGTTTGTTTTCATATGTCTTGTTGTTATAATTTCATATACATAAGAAACTGTTAACAAGTCAATTGAGAGTAAATCACTTATTGGATTGATTGTCAAGTCTGAACTGGAAGCTTACACTCTTTATAACAAGCATTCTTTTGAAAATGGATTTGGCATTCGAAGATACAAACAGAGATTTAGGAGTGGAAATTTGAGTTTGTCTATGAAATCTTATTGTTGTTGGAAAGAAGGGAAGAAACTACAAAAGGGAACAGAAAACAAAGCATATACCAAATTAGATTACCGTTCAGGTTGTAAAGAAAAGTTGCAGTTTTCCATTAGCAGTGATGGTGAATGGACTGTTTCTAAGCATATCATTGATCATAACCATCCTTTTTGTCCAATTGGTCAGAGACACCTCCTGAAATCACATCGTGCTGTTGATGAAGAGTATCTAGAATTTATTATGCTGATGAAGGAAAGTGGGACAAAGGTTTCTGATATTCATCGTATGCTTCAAAAACAGGCAGATGGTGTTAGGACTCTTGGGTTCAGGAAGCGTGATGCTTATAACAGACTAGAATCTGAAAGGCGTAGAACATTTGATGGTTCTGATTCGAATAGTTTGATTGGTATATTCAAGAAAAGGGCTGATTCTGAATCTGACTTTTTTTTTATTTTGATCTGGAAGATGGTACACTGTGTTCCTTTTTTGGAGGGATGGACAAATGAAATCTGATTATGAGCGATTTGGAGATCTAGTTGTGCATGATACAACGTACATGACTAACAAATCTGAATCATCTTTGTTGTTTCAGGGCTTCCTTTAACAATTCCCCATTCTGCTCTCCACTGCTTCAGCAATTCATTGTATTCTTCACTTTCATTTTTGCCATTGGCTTCTTGAACATCAATAGTTCCCATTGGCAACCCAAATACTGCTCTGACATCTTGATCTTCTATATCTAACAACTCACCGTTCGTGAGTTGTAGTTGTCCTAAAATTGGTCTGAAATTTTCAAGGAGAAACTGAACAAAGTCGTCATAGAATCTATCAAAATTTAGATGGAGTAAGCCTCCAAAGCCAATCCTCTGCAATGCTGCTTTATTATTATCATCTAGTTGTTTAATCAACTTTAGGAAATGAGCTGGCCTTACTCTTGTTCTTAGGTTGATAAAACTGGACCTGTTGCTTCTCTCTCCCTCTTCATTTTCATCACTTGATTCTTCAGGTACTTCCCTTTTCCTTTTTGAAAGTATTTTTCTTTTTTTGCTTGTTTCTGGCTTGCTTGTTTCTGGCTTATGATACTCCTGGAATAGGATTGGTTCTTCTCTCTGTCCTGTTCGAATAACTTCATCTTGGTTTTCTGTTTGAGGATTCTCATTTTGAGTAGTTGTAGCACTCCTTGTATTCCTATTGTCATGCAAAATAACATTAAGAGTTATAGTTGAGTGACGTTATTCTACGCAATTTACATAGTTGTTAAGAAAAGTTTACATCACACAAATACATTTGAACATTCTAACACTATGGATGTTTTATGATAAAAAGTTTACATAAATTCTAACACGAGTTGCATATTATTATATGAATGTTACATAACTACTAATTGAAGTTACATTACTCGCAAGTAGTTAATCAATGTACACTGGACTTGGTTGCAGTCATACTAATGCACACGACTTACACACTATTATACACACGTTACATAACTATACATTGAAGTTACATTACTCACAAGAAGTTAATCAATTTACACTGGACTTGGTTGCAGTCATACTAATGCACACGACTTACACACTATTATACACAAGTTACATAACTATACATTGAAGTTACATTACTCACAAGAAGTTAATCAATTTACACTGGACTTGGTTGCAGTCATACTAATGCACACGACTTACACACTATTATACACACGTTACATAACTATACATTGAAGTTACATTACTCACAAGAAGTTAATCAATTTACATTGGACTTGGTTGCAGTCATACTAATGCACACGACTTACACACTATTATACACATGTTACATAACTATACATTGAAGTTACATTACTCACAAGAAGTTAATCAATTTACACTGGACTTGGTTGCAGTCATACTAATGCACACGCCTTACACACTATTATACACAAGTTACATAGATATACATTGAAGTTACATTACTCACAAGAAGTTAATGAATTTACACTGGACTTGGTTGCAGACATACTAATGCACACGACTTACACACTATTATACACAAGTTACATAACTATACATTGAAGTTACATTACTCAAAAGTAATATATTTTCAACACTATTTTCCCAAATATATTACTCCTGATAACATACATTTCAGATATTGATAACAACTGATAACATACATTTTACACACCAAATCCACATGAAGTTACAAATGATAACATATATTTACATATTTCGTATTGTGTAATACATATAGGAATACATTATAATATTCTCAGATTCCATAGAACGTTTATAATATTCTCAGATTCCGCAAATACACAATATGAAACTAAGATTACATTATTCATACATTCTAAGTTACATGCATTTTGATATTTACAGAACAATAACATATTTAACACCAAAATAAACTTATTTTGATAATCAACTGCACTGTTTAATCATCGATATGGTGTTATAGTTGATACCTGTGAACTGATTTCATGTTAACCCTAGCCATCTCGAATCAGGCTTTTGTTTTCAGAAATTTGCTTTGGATGGTGTTATAGTTGATACATGTGAACTGATTTCCTGCCTTACTTAGTTTCTGATTTTTGTTCGCAGAGACATGGAACTCGGCAAGTGCTGGTTCGCAGAGATATTATAATGAACAATGTCTCACTGAGAAATAGAATCAAATGGTGAAACTCACTGAGAATGAACAATATAATAGAATCAAATGGTGAAACTCACTGCTAGAACTAGAATCAAATGATTTTGCAAAGTACATGATGGATAGTTGGTGTGTAGCATATAATGGGCACACAACTATTTTTTTACCCAAGGAAGTAGGGTGTCGAACCACAGAGAAGCGGGAAATAAAATAATTAAGCACAAACTAAGGATTAAAGTTGGGAATGCGTTTCTTTTTATTTTTTTGTTTGCTTGGAAAAGTAATTAAATAAAAGTGATTGAGAGAAAAGATTTTTATCAACACAAAGTTCAACCAATAGCAAGTAGGGGTAGAAATTGGCAACTAATTGTTCAATGCTCATTTGTAAGACATAATTGATAATTTTATTCTTAGACAGATTGTGAGAAGTTGTAGATAAATATTTTAGGACCCAACACAAGTCACCTAAAATAAGTAACTAGTCAACATTTCCCAGTGATGGCCAAATCGAGACTAGTTGTTTAAGTGCAACGACAACCTTAATTATTAACTATATTATTTACCCAACCCCGTGGTGTAAATAATAAAATAAAATAATTAAATTCTGCCGTAAAACTTCAATCCGGGACAAGGTAAAAGAAGTTTAACGGTGTGTTCAGAAAGTGTTCATTTGTGTATTTAACAAACAATATGTTTATGATTGAGTACTCATAATATATATCACAAACACAACATAATTAATTTTCTGGACACAACAATCTAAATAGAACAAACTTAACAATTAAAATCAATACAAATTAAAACATTATAAGAACAATTAATTAACCAATTTCTAGCCCCAAATTTATTTAGCTATACATGTTGGGAAACATAGAAATAGATGAATCCATGATTAAAGTACAAGATTTAATGAGATAAGGAAGATCAAACTTGTGATAGATGACAATCCTTGAAGCTTTGATGCTAATCTTGACTTAATCTTGGATGAGAAAGTGATTAGTTATGGTTGAAGATGGGTTGATGATTTGGGGTTGAGAAATGAAGAGAGAAGGAGGAGGAAATGTTTCTGGGATGTTTAGAGAGAAGTTGGTCCGAGCTTATCTGTGGAGGAAGATGGATTAAGGCAATATAATGATAAGGTGATTAATCATTAATTGCTGGAATTTACGGAACAGATGAGTTTATGTACAACAAAGCGCAGTAATGTTATAATAGTGTGTAGTAGCCCAGCGGATGAAGTCCTTAAAGAAATGCGTAGGTCGTGGTTTCGATACCCGTCAGCTTCTCTTTTTATTCCTTTTTTTTTAAAATTGGGCCTGAAGCAATGTATACAAATTTCCAACAAAATCTTTCAACTTGTTTATTTAGCTCATTGGTTGAGTTTGTCCATTCCTTTTCCAATTGACCCATGTTCGAATCCCACCTCGTCCATTATTACTTTTTGCTATTTTTCTCCAAGTTACTCCTTATTTGTTTTGAAGGAAATTCCACTTTTATTGACCTCCTTGAACTTTTATTTTCTTCTTTTGTTCACACTCTAATGTATCCAAATAGCATCAAAAGTATCTGAAAATACAAAATACCCGTGTAGGACTGCACAAGTACAAACTAACGACGAATAATAAAAATATATACAAAAGTAGAACTTTAATAACTAAAATTAACAACAAACTAAGCCTAAAAAGTGTGTAAAATATAAGTACATCAAATCCCTCACACTTAGGCTTTTGCTTGTCCTCAAGTAAAACAAACAACAAACACAAAAATATACACAATTTGATAAGATTTACAAACATAACTAAATAAATCACATATCCACCTCTAATGTCCACTAAACGGTCCAGTACCCTGAAATGTCACAAAATAACGCATTGAGAGTAAACTGAGTATTTGTGCCTATCACTAAGATTTTCAAATCAAACTTTTAACACAAACACCTATAGATCTAAATTAGTTCGGGTTATGCAGAACAAGTTTCTCCAATCCGCTAAATTCAAAAAATGACACAAATAGATCAATTAGGACTTTTTTCGGTGAGTGGCGAGATTAATGAGTGTGGCTAGTTGGAAGGAAAGTTTGGTGTAAGAATATACAGAGAGAGTTAGATTGTACTAATACTGAGCGGATCATCACAAGAATTTACAAAAACTTAGAGCATATAAAACAATGAGAAATATAAACATGAAAAGTAAAAAAAAATGGGGTTTTACAAAAGAAATTACAACAAGAATTTAATGTGCCTCTTTGTTTTGTTTTTGTTTTTTTTGTTTCTTTTTTTTCAATTTTTCCTCTTTTTTTCTTTTTTTTTTTTTGATTTTTTTTCAAAGAGGGCACACACTGAACATTACAATGAAAAACTAACCCCAAAATTTACAAACAAATATGTACTTCACTCATATGACACTTAATAGTAGCTCCATTTATTCACTCTCAAGTAACAAGACAATCTACTCTAGATTAGAAAAGATTAACTTTGGGTAGGGCTTCAGAAGGTTATGTATTTACAAGGTAAAAAAAAAATTAGTAACAACTGAAGTAATGTATTTTACACTGGTACACTGAAAAGGCTCAAACGGGGTTACTAGGGAAAGTGTTATTTATTTACAAAGGGATAGTGAATGGCTTCATGGGTAAACAAAGATGGCCTAAATCATTTCTAAATGTGTCAAGTTCAAATAAAATTTCAAGGAGAATAAATGTATGAACATCTTAATCTGCATAAACTTTCACTAATTCAACTATTAACCAATAAATTGAAAAAATAAAATCTAAGGTGTTTAATGTTAAAGTGTTAAAAAGAATCAAGTTCAAATAATCAAGTTACTCTCAAAAAATTATAGTGACACTTCTCAAACTCAAACCACATTTCGTCAAAAGAGGTGAATGAATAGTTTTAAAAAGTTATGGAAGTAACTAGTAACAAAAAGTGTAAACTAATGTGTTGTTTGTCTATTGTTTTATTTTGGACAAGACTAGTCTTTATTCACAAACAAACACACAAAATAAAAATAAAAAGAAAACAAAATCACACAAACAAGCAAGGAAAAAGAAAAAAAAATATTCACACAAGAAATCAGGGTCGAACTACCCACTCCCCCACACTTAAAATTTGCATTGTCCTCAGTGAAAAATAAATTAATGGAGTGTAAAGAAAACTTCCCTGAAGTGCGGACGGATGATGTTGAGATGTCCTTTCGAGCGGATGTGGCCCCTTTAGAGTCCAAAAACAAAAACCTAGACATTTTTTTTTTCTTTTTTTTTTTGCTTTTTTTTTGTTTTTTTTTTTGAAATTTACAAACTTGGGTTGCCTCCCAAGAAGCGCTCGTTTAAGGTCATTAGCTTGACCCATGCCTCTTCATTCATATTTCGGAGCAGTGAGGCAATACACAGAAGTTGCCTCTTGTCTCTCACCATCATGGTATAGTTTCAACCGTTGTCCATTTACCATGAGTTTTTGGCCGCTTTTGTTTAACAACTGGACTGCTCCGGATGGAAATGCTTCAAGTACTTCAAATGGACCCAACCATCGGGTCTTTAGCTTTCCGGGAAAGAATTTGTAACGTGAGTTAAATAGAAGAACTTTATCTCCCCGTTCAAATTTTCTTCGGCTGATCACCCGGTCATGCAAAACTTTTGTTCTCTCCTTGTAGAGTTTTGAGCTATCATAAGCTGCAAGTCTGAATTCTTCAAGTTCATTTAGCTGCAACAGTCGTTTCTCACCCGCCAATGCAAGATCCATGTTGAGTGTCTTGATTGCCCAATATGCTTTGTGTTCAACCTCAACAGGAAGGTGACATGCTTTCCCATACACCAATTTGAATGCTGAGGTGCCGATGGGATTTTTGTAAGCAGTGCGATATGCCCATAGTGCATCATCAAGCTTTTCGGCCCAATCCTTTCGGGAAGGATTAACAACTTTCTCGAGAATTGTTTTGATTTCTCGGTTTGAAAGTTCCACTTGGCCATTTGTTTGCGGGTGGTATGGAGTTGAGAGTCGGTGGTGAATCCCATATTTGGAAAGGACACGTTCCAATGCTTTGTTACAAAAATGAGTACCATTGTCGGTGATGAAAGATCGTGGAACTCCGAATCGGGAGAAAACATTTTTCTGAATGAATTGGATCACCACTTTGGCATCATTTGTCGGTGTGGCAGCTGCTTCTACCCATTTAGAAACATAATCAACAGCTACAAGGATGAACTCTTTCCCATTTGATTTTGGAAATGGCCCCATAAAATCGAGCCCCCACACGTCAAACAATTCGACTTCAAGTATGCCATGTTGAGGCATTTCATTCTTTCTTCCAATATTGCCGGTACGTTGGCAACGATAACAGTTTTTCACAAATTTGCTTGCATCTTTGAAAATAGTGGGCCAAAAGAAACCTGATTGTAAAATCTTTGCAGCAGTACGAGAGCTTCCATGATGTCCCCCATATGCTGAGGAATGACAATGGTGCAAGACATTTGAAACTTCATCTTCGGGCAAACACCGTCGAATGACTCCATCGGCACACCTTCTATAGAGAAAAGGTTCTGCCCAATGATAGTAGCGGGAGTCATATTTTAACTTCTTCTTTTCAGTATGTGTAGCACCATGTGGAATTACCCCATGAGAAAGGTAATTTGCAATATCGGCAAACCATGGATCGAAATTTTGAGCAGCCATAAGTTGTTCCCCAATGAAATAATCATTGATTGGCATCTTGGTATCACAAGGAATCTCAAGTCGAGATAAATGATCGGCAACAACATTTTCAGATCCTTTTCTATCACGGATTTCCATGTCAAACTCTTGTAGTAACAAGATCCACCGCAACAACCTCGGTTTTGCATCTTTTTTGTTGATGAGGTATTTGATAGCCGCATGGTCGGTATAGACAATAATCTTGCTACCGATAAGGTAAGATCGGAATTTTTCAATGGCAAAAATTATGGCAAGGAACTCTTTTTCAGTTGTGGCATAATTTGATTGGGCATCATCAAGAGTATGACTTGCATAATAAATGGTGTATACTTCTTTGCCTTTGCGTTGACCCAGAATGGCTCCCACGGCATAATCGCTTGCATCACACATGAGTTCAAAAGGAAGACTCCAATCAGGTGGCCTAATAATTGGTGCAGTAGTTAAGGCCAACTTGAGTTTTGAAAATGCGGCGCAGCAAGATTCATCAAAATTAAACTCCACATCTTTTGAGAGAAGATTGGTTAAAGGCTTTGATATTTTTGAAAAATCCTTGATAAACCGTCGATAAAATCCCGCATGGCCAAGAAAACTGTGAATCCCCTTGATGGAAGAAGGGGGTGGCAATTTATCAATTACTTCTATCTTTGCCGGGTCTACTTCAATGCCCTTTTCAGAAATTTTGTGCCCAAGCACAATGCCTTCGGTTGCCATGAAATGACATTTTTCCCAGTTGAGGACAAGATTTGCTTCTTCACATTTGCTCAGCACTTTATCAAGATGTTCAAGACAATCATCAAATGAAATCCCATAAACCGAGAAATCATCCATAAAAACTTCCATAATTTCCTCGACAAGATCCGAGAAAATAGCTAGCATATATCTTTGAAAGGTTCCTGGTGCATTACATAATCCAAACGGCATTCTGCGATATGCAAAAGTACCATAAGGACATGTAAATGTCGTCATTTCTTCATCATCCGGATGAATTGGGATTTGGAAAAATCCAGAGAATCCGTCAAGAAAACAGAAATATTTGTGCTTAGCCATCCTCTCCAGCAATTGATCAATAAAGTGAAGTGGAAAATGATCTTTCCGAGTAGCCTTGTTTAGCTTGCGGTAATCAATGCACATGCGCCATCCCGTGACTATTCGTGTAGGAATCAGCTCGTTTTTGTCATTCTTTACAACAGTAATTCCTCTTTTCTTTGGCACCACATGGATAGGACTTACCCATTTACTGTCCGAAATGGGGAAAATGATACCCGAACTCAATAGTTTAAGAATTTCTTTTTTAACAACATCTTTCATGTTCGGGTTGAGGCGTCTTTGGTGCTCAATGCTCGGCTTGTGATCATCCTCCAAGTAAATGCGGTGCATGCAATAAGATGCCTTTATGCCAACAATATCATCAATGGT